CTTTCTCATCGTCGCTGGGGTTAGAAAAAACAAAGAAAGTTCAACATTTATTTGGGATTAAAAAAATCGATCAAAAACCTACGCTTCTTCATCTTCCTCGCCATTGACATCCTCATCGCCGGAGACCTCTTCGGCCGCTTCACTGTCCAGCGGTTCGCTCTCGTCCTCCTCATCGGCAGCTGCTTCCTCGTCTTCATCCTCGACAGCTGCTCGTATTTCTTTGGCTGTTAGTCGCTTCTGTTTGCTGGGACGCCCACGAGGACGTCGCGCAGGTCGACCATTCTGCTTGTTCGAGGACGAGTGTGTGGATGTTTCGCTTTTGTCATCTGTGGCAAGCTCTTCCTCCTCCTCCTCCTCCGCCTCCGCCTCTTCCTGCGCCTCCTCTTCGTCTTCATCTTCCGGCTCCTCCTCCTCCTCCTCGGGCTCCTCTTCATCATCATCTTCCACAATGAACTTGCGCTTACGCTGTGCCGCCGTTTTCTTTTCCTTCTCATCGTTTGTGTTCTTCAGGCCGAGATTCTTGACGCACTCATTGCAGTACCAATGACCCTTGGGCACGGAGCGCATCTTGGGCTTCATGCAGAACATGTGCGTGCCGCCGTTGCACTCATCGCAGAGCAGCATCTTGTCGGGATCGCTGCCACGCCGGCACACCTTGCACAGCGACTTGTTCGTGGAGCGAATCCACTGAATGCAGTCGTGCAGCATATTGAAGTGCAGAAAGAGCTGCGCATAGCTGGTGCTCTCCATGAGGGACACCTCCCATTGATGCAGTCGCGCCTCACACTCCTGCTTGAGGACATCCTGCTTGGGATCCCACTTCTTCATGCCGTAGGGTGGCTTCAGGAAACGCCTGCCAATGGCCTGTTCCACCTGCAGCAAGGCGCCAGCCATGTTGCGCACTTGGTTATGCAGCGTCTCCGTCTCCTGTCCCTCCTCGTCGGCAGACTCCTCGTCCAAATACTGCCCCGGATCGCGGTACGGCTTTGTGGCATATTTGCCTACAGTCACAGCGCCCTTTTCCTCATCCTCGTAGTCCTCATGCGAGTCATTGTCGGAGCCCGAGGCTGCCAGATTCTCCAGCTTGCCACCGGGACCCCACTGCAGCTTGACCTGCGGATCGTACTTGCCCTCGAGCAGGTCGTTCCGCCACTTCTCCATATCCTTGACCTTCAATCTGCCCAAATCCCCCGTGTAAATGTCAGTCTCGAACTGCAGCAGGCGATCCACCAGATGCAGCTGCATCACATGATTCAAATCTGTGCCCTCGGCCAGCTGAAAATTGGCCTCCGAATACTTTCGATGCGTTTCCGTGTGCATGGTGCTGAGGAATTTCTTGCGCTGCTGCTCGGTCTCCAGCGTGAGCATCTCCACGGGGCAGGTGCTCACATGCTGCTCGATGAGCGTGCGCAGCCCGTTGATCTCCTCCAGCAGTCCCGACTCGCGAATCCCCAGTGGGTTGAGGCTCTTGAGCAGCTCGTCAATGTCCTCCGCTTTGTAGATGTACGACCAACGCTGACGCTCGGACTGAGCCTGACTCTCATTGTGGACAATGCAGCTGCGCCGATCGCCGCTGCACATGAGCAGCTCGTGCGGTGTGGGATCCTCGAGGGGCTCTGCCTCGGCCAGCACCTCCATGGGCTCGGCATCGCCATTGATGCGATGCTCCTGGTTCTCCTTGTTCTCCAGCGATTGCTTCGCACGCTTGCGTGACTTTTCCTCGCCATAGAGCTTCAGCAGGTACAGACGCAGCTCCTTGCGGCTCTTGGGCAGCTGCGCTTGGTTGCTAATCTCCGCCTGGGGTTTGTTCAGCGGCGGCTGCGACAGACAGGTATCCAGGCTATCAGGGGAATGCTCCACAAAGATGCCCGGCATGGACTCCAGCACGTAGTACTTCCGATAGCAGCGATCCATGCCCAGAAACACAAGGAAATTGAAGAGTTGAGAGTGCAGAGCGAACACCTGCTGCTCGTGCTTCTTGTGCTGCGTGTCCGACTTGGCGTGCAGCTCCGCAATGTCTTTGTTCAGCTTCTCCAGCAGCGTTTGCTTCTTCGCCGGATCATTCTTCAGCTCCTCCGCGCTGCACGCCAAGTGATGCTCGTGGGTCAGCTTCCTTTTGCTCATCTCCAGCGCAGCCAAGCGGCGATTCTCCACCTGTATGAGCGTGCGCAGCTCCACCTTGGCCTTGGCCGTCTGCTCCATGCGCTCCTCAATCAGATTGATGGTGCCCGAGTACGTCAGAATCTGCGACATGAGGCAGCGAATGACGCACATAATGTCGGGGAAGCTCATCTTATAGATCGGGGTGTTCCTGAGGCTGTGCAGGATATGCGCATGCTGCAGGCGCAACTCCAGGCCGGGATCTTCGCGTGAGGCATAGCCATTGCGGTACATAATGCGCCACTTCTCGGCCTTCTCGTTGACAATCGCACCCGAGCTGAGCAGATGCAGCCGCAGCACTTCGCTCAGCGTCAGCGCGTCCAGCGGCAGTTCGTTGATCTTGAAGGAAAAGTGCCGCTTGGCGTAGTAGTGGCTGCGCGTGGCATGGCCCATGCTGATGTACGGCTCACTGGGCGCGGTATACCGTCCTAGCATGTACCTGACGGTGCACTCATCCTCCTCCTCCTTTTGCAGATCAAAAACGGTGCCCAGCAGCACCAGAATGATGTCCGAGAGTGGACCAGCCACCTCGCGTGCACTCAACGCTCGCGTCATCTCATAGAAGCTTAGGTTCTGCCGGAACACCTCCACGCCAGACAGCAGGCCGGAATATGTGTGCATAAATTCTCGCATCATGAAGGCATCGCCGAGCAGCTGCTCCGGCAGGAGCGTCACAATTGGCTTGTAGCGCGGCAGCACACGCTGATCGCAGCGCTCCAGATCGTCCGTTTTGGTCAGCAGATTGTTGCACTCGAACTCCACGCGCTCCATCAGCTGCGCCTTCTTCTCGGCCTTCTCGCGCTCCAGCAGTGCCAGCTTCGCGGCCCTTTCCAGGCGCACACGTTCCATTTCCTCCGCCAGCTGCTTGGCACTGGCTTTGGCTTTCTCCTTAGCCTTGGCGGCCGACTCCTCGGACACATCCGACACAATGTATTTGTTCAGCGTTGATTGCTTCTTGGCTGCAGCATCTTTGGGCTCCGGTCGCTTGATCTTAGAGGGGGAATAGCGCGGCATTTTGCCAATGAAAATGCTCGCAAAGCTCACGCCAGCATCTGTTACGTATTGTTTGTAGGCCTCCGGCTTGGGGCGGAGTATCCCGTCCACCCTTGTGACATTATTCTTGATGAACATGCCCAGATTTTCCATATTAAACTCCAGACGCTGGCGTCTTATGTGCTCGTAGGACACGACGATCTCTGTGCTGGCATCACCCTTAGCGGCACGCAGGCGATACTGCAGCGCGTCTGTGTCCTCGTAGATATCGTTGCTGGGCAGCGGCATGCCCTTGCCTGGCTGTATGGCCACCACCACATAGGCAGTGTTCTTTTTGGTCGTCACGCTCACCTCCTCGTTGATGAAGTAACGTTTGCGAAGGAATTTGGCCACCATCAGGTTGAGTGTCTTCACCGCCGACTGGCGTGCATGTTCCACCACGAGCAGCACGGGCGCGCGGAGGCTCTGTTTGAACTGCTCCATCTTCTTGCGGGCAGCGCGTTCGCTTTTCAGCGCCTCTTCGTACGTAAGACTGTCGCGGCCGGTTGCCTCGCATTGCCACACCGTTGAATTGATGGCCATCACGTGGCGAAAGTAGTTTCTGTTTGGAAAATAATTTGTATATCAGTATTGAGCAGCTCTAGATATTTCGATTTCAAATTAGGCGTTAAATGCGCGCCTATTTTTTGTGTGGGGTGGCAACTCTGTGCAAAAGCAGCTGGGAGCAGGCGGCAGCTGAGAATTGGTTCGCGCGCTTTACTCCCGCCACCGACAGCGTTGTTTGTGCCCCGCGGTCCAGGACCACACGAACACACACTCACACCCAAGCATACATTATGCATGCCTGTGTGTGTGTGTTTGCGCGATGTTCGTATATCGGTCGGTTGCATGCGTTCCGTTCCCAGGCGTCGCTTTGTTGTATACTTTAGCGCACTCTTCGCTTTGCAATGATGCTCCTAAAGGACCTGGACCTGGAGCATGGGTCAATGGGAGGTGTACTTACTCATAGTCGCGGAAAATGCGATTGGTGATGTAGCAGCAGAAGACCAAGTCGTTATCTTGGAATGTATCGTTTCTGCCCTCCTTCTGATTTAGGTCGAAGCCTTCCCGCTTGCAAATCGGCATATTTATTTATGTATTTATATTTAATTGCACCAAATATAAGTTAAGTTGACAATTTCACTGCTCTGTCTATCACCCGCGCGCGAATCACTGCTGGCTGGGGCTGCTGCCTGTTGGGAAGAAGCGCAAATTGTAAAGAAATGTGCCACAGCCAGGCCAGACGACACACACAATCTTCTCACAAAAGGCGCCCAATTTTTTTCTTGCGTTTTCGCACGGCTGCCCGTTGCCGTTTGTTAGCGTATTTTCAGCGGTTTGCGCGCCGTGCTCGCACACACATTTATGAACAGCCGATGAACGCTACGATTCAGCCACTTTCTATTATATTTTCTGTGGGTTTCATCAGCGTCTACACTTGAAAATTGGTTATTTTTTAACGCACAAATTATTTTCATGCGCGCCTTGCGAATCGCCCAATTTTCTTTTACTTTGCTTTGCTTTGCAACACAAACAATGTTACCGCACGACGTCAAACGCGAAATGCCACACAGCAAATGGGCAGAGAAAGAAGAAGAGAAGAGCACGCTAAATGGAATTCACTGCAAATTTTAGTATCGCATCGTCTTTAGATAACTATAATCTATTTTTATACGGTTTTTTTTGTCAGGAAAGTGTAATGCAACTAATTTTTTTAACATAAATTCAAACAATATGTGCGATTTATTTGCGCGCCAATTATTCCGCTATCGATGGCTGCACTAATTACGCGCCTATCGATAAGCTAAATTAGCAGTCCTGTTACAGACGCAAAGCAAAAGAAAGAACAACCAAAAAAAGTTTGCGGAAAAGTGCAACTAATAACATAATTAAGTGCAGTGCAATCAATTGCAATGCTTATAAGAGAACTTAAACCACATAGAATGCGCTGCTGCGTATGACGACAGCCTTTTCAGATAGGTAAACGATCACACAACACCCACAGCAGGGGTTTTTTTTTCTATTCTTTCACTCTGTGCCAGTGCTCCACTCTTCTCCGTTGTCTTCCTCTTTTCCTCGTTTCGTACACACACAGCAACACACAAAAGCAACAACAACAAAAGGCGATATATTTTGTGTGGAGCAAAACTGTACGCGCGCGGGGTGTGAAAGAAAAACTGCAAACACACATATGTATGTACATACATAACCATGTACATATCTATGTACATCTATCTATGTACATACCTTCAGCATACGATTATGAAGTGCAAATGTTTTAATGTCCCCCCTCGTTTTTTGTCTCCTCTTTTCATGTTTCTGTTTCCGTTTGTGTCTCGGATGCTTCTTGGCTAATTGCAGTCGTCTCTGTGCAAGTGTGTGTGCGTGAACGCTTCGCTGCTGGCAATCCATCACATCGCTCGTGTCCAGCAGTCGTCGTCGTCATACGGAAAAACGCGCCAACGAACGCACCTCTTCGCCTACATCTTCGTGGCTGCGATCACGCGCCCCGCCCCGAGCCCCACGCTTATAGATGATAATGGTGCGCAGGAGAGCGCGCCCCACCAAAGACACTGGTGGTGGCTCTGCAGCGGCAGCTGTTGCCACAGACGGAGCTCTAACCATGGACACTGCCGCCGCTGTGGCCGTTGCGGGCGGCAATCATCTGCTCGATGATCAATATTTTGCCAGCCCCAAGCGGAAAGACTGCCGCCTGATGAAGGCCAGTGAAAATCTCAAAATTTCCTCCGATGTGCTGACATTGGAGGAGGCGAACAACAAAGGCAACAAGCCAACAAAGGCGTTAACAGATCGAACAATTGGTGAGTTTTGTTGTTGCTGCCGCCATCTGTTGGCATTTTTTGAGGTTAGCTTTACTGATTTTTGCTCGGTTTCTTGTTTCTGTAGGCGTGCCGCTGGCCACACGCTCCCAAACACGCACCATTGAGAACTTTTTCAAAGCAAATGCTGCCGCCAAGTGTACACCACATGATGAGCCAATTGAAGAGCAAAAGACAATATCCACAGAGCTTGCTCTGTCCGATGAGCTGGGGGATGACGAACTGGAGCGTGTTGTTGGCGATCTGCTGTACGATGGCCATTCGACGGCCTCTTCCGATTCACCTTCCTACCAACACGAGCGCGAGCTCGAGCAGGAGGACACATTTCTGCTGCGCGAAACGAGTCCCGGGCCCGTACTGACGGCCGACTTCCAGACACATCGGTCGGCGCTGCGGGATAGCCACAGCTCGTCCCATAGCAGCAGCAGCAGCAGCGGCGGTGCCAGTGCCACCACAGACAATATCTTCCTGCAGGAACCGGTGCTGACACTGGACATTGATCGCACGCCCACCAAAGCCTCTAGCATTAAGATCAACAAAAGTTTCGAGCTGGGCAGCGCTGTCTTCTCATCGCCACCTTCCGTGCTGAATGGCTGCCGCTTCAATCAGATTGTGACACTCAATGGAGGAGGCGCCGAGCAAGCCGAGATGCCGGCAGCTATCCCGCCTCAGCCACAGCTTCAGCCGCATCTTAACGCCTTCGAATTGGACCAACATGATAGTAGTTCCTGCGACAGTGGCGTTGCCTGCAGCCTGAGCCTGACGGCTGAATCGCCAGCAGCTGCGGCCACGCGTCGCCGCAAGCCAGCCACACCTCATCGTATACTCTGCCCCTCGCCGATCAAGACATTGCCCCGCGAAGGGAGCGGCGGCATGTTAGTACCTGGAGCACGCAAAACTTCCGGCATTTTGATGAAGGGCGATCTGTTGTCGCCGAGAAAGTCGCCACGCAAGCTGCCGACAACGACAGCGGCGGTTGCCGCCTGCAAGTCGCGACGAAGACTGAATCAGCCAAAGCCACAAGCGCCTTACCACCACCAGCCACAGACACAGCCACAGCCACAGCCAGGCACACAGCCAACGAACGAGGATATTGTCGTCATAATCGATGACGATGATGATGTGGATCAGGAGGATGAGGGCGATGAGGATGAGGACGATGTACATGCCTTACTGAAGGCTGCCGAAGAGCTGGAGAACCTGAACAAAGTACCCATAGCCATTAGCAACAAAAGCAACAATCATGCGAAAACAATGCTCAAACCAGCGCCAGCCAAGCCAAGGGCTGCCCTTAGCAAAGGCAAGTCGAAGACAGGCTCGAAGATCCAGCCCGGACCACTGCCCCTGGCCGCCACGAATGGCAATCGCGAGATGACAGACTTCTTTCCGGTGCGGCGAAGCGTGCGCAAGACCAAGACAGCCGTCAAGGAGGAATGGCTGCGCAACCTCGAGCAGGCGGTGCTTGAGGAGCGCTCCGAGGGCCTGCAGGTGCGCAACTTCATGGGCAAGGGACGCGGCGTTGTCGCCGTGCGTCACTTCAAGCGCAACGAGTTCGTCGTGGAGTATGTGGGCGATCTGATCTCGATCAGCGATGCCACCGATCGCGAGCGACGCTACGCGCTGGACGAGAATGCCGGCTGCTACATGTACTACTTCAAGCACAAGAACCAGCAGTACTGCATCGATGCCACGGTGGACACGGGCAAGCTGGGACGCCTCATTAATCACTCGCGTGCCGGCAATCTGATGACCAAAGTGGTTGTCATCAAGCAGCGACCGCATCTGGTGCTGCTGGCCAAGGATGATATTGCGCCGGGGGAGGAGCTGACCTACGACTATGGCGATCGATCCAAGGAGTCGCTGCTGCATCATCCTTGGCTGGCCTTCTGAGGCAGGGAGTCCATGGAGAAGCCCTAGCCAGAAGCGGTCAACGGTTCGGAAACGGTTCAGCTAAATGGTTTTTGTGTGCTTAATTCTTAGCTTTTATATCTATCTATAGAAACCAGATCCACAAACCATTTGGGCAAGACAAAACCTACTTCCATTCAAAGACTGTTCCAAGCCTCGAAACGAAACGCGAACCGCAGCGGACTGGGCGTGGCACTCCCCCGAATTTAGTTTTTATTTTGAGGAAAAGTATGAAAAACTGTTAGTTCAAAATATCATAAAGGATAGGCGAAACACACACCAACACACACCACACACACACACACCAACACACACATGATAGCATACATATAAAAATTTTCTGGATTTGTTAGCGGTTTTTATAACATTATGTTACGTGGCAGCCAGGCTAAAAACAGAGAGAAACGAGACCAGACAGGAGATGATGATAATAACTAATTGAAAATGCGCTTAAACATTAAGGCATTCATCTAGCTAGAGTTTAAGTATAACGAAATGATTAACTGTTGAACATTTAGACGCAAGTTTCCGAAAGAGAGAGAGTGCTGCTGGAAGGGTGTAACGCGTATGCTATTTATATATAGATATTTATATTAGATACATGTGTAATTTCGAAACCTATTATTACGTACTATTTACTGCCATAGTGCTACACAAGCCTCGCCCACGCCCCCATGCACGCCCTTAGCCACACACAACCATGCGGTACACAAGCAGCTTTCAGGAGAGTAACGGACTGCTGGTACAGCTAGTCTCTCTCTTTAGACACACACACACACACACACTTAAGCAGGTTTCAAACACACACACACACACATACACTCTCCTGCCCCTCTACTACCTACAAAATGACAGAAGCTTCTCCAATAATTGTTTTATTTTCTATTCACATAAATTGTAAGTTTTATTTCTCTGTAACCAGCGCATATCGTTTTTAATTATACACAGTAAATACATTTTTAAATAGATTTAATTCATTTCTTTATTTAAAAACAAAAAGCAGCATCGTTTCATTGTAATTAAACGTTTTTAGCTCTAATTTGTATTGACTTAGCAAAATAAAAACCACACACGAAAATCGATAGAATATTTTACATACACTTAAGTTTAAAGTTTACATTCAAAACACTTAGTTCTAGTTAATAATTGTTTATAATTTTCACACTCACACCCACACACTATCAACTTAAAAAAAGCGCAACATAAAGTAAAATAAATAAAAATGCATAAAAAAAAACACTTTAACAACACGCAAAAATAATAATCATCAAAAAAACTGGAGCGGATTTTTGGGCGCTGGCGCTGCATCTACTGGAGATCATCAGGGGGGGAGTAGACACGCACATCTCTGGGAATGACTTCCAGCTAATACATCTACTAACTTTATTACATGGCTAGCCTATGCCTAAGGTTTACTCGTTACTCGTTTAGGTCTTAAGTTGTTTAGTTTTTTCCTCACTTAAGTACCAATATTGTTTTTATATATATTTATTTATTGGTAGAAAAGTTCGCATCAGGCGGGTTGGTTTTTTTGGGGGTTTACTTTTCTTCGTACTTCTCTGGAGTATTCTCTTGGTTAGGGCTGGGACCTTGGGCAGTCACAAAGGGAAGAGTTGTTTGCTCTGGAATGATTTTAAGTCCCTGACTCTAGGGTTTCTGCCACATAAAATCTCTCTAGTTGGTTTCTCTGGTTTCAATTTTGAGCTGGAGTTTTTGCTGCACTTTCTGGGGGGAGTTCTAGCAACAACTTCAACAACAACAACAAACAACAACAATAACTTCAACGACAACATTAAACACAGTTTTCTTTCAGCTGGCTCCGAGGTTCTATAAGTAATTATCAGACGGATTCATAATACTGACTCAACTCCACGGCGGACCCCAGGATCACCCCTCCGCTGCCCAATCTACGTGAGTATGCTGGCCTCTCCTGCCAGTGGACGTGGCGGCTGCTGCTGCTGCTGCTGTTTCTTTTGAGGATTCACATGAAGTTTGCCTCCTCGCAGCATTTGTCATTTCTTGCCACCAAAACTGGGCTTGGGCAGCGAGCCCATAAAGGCGCCCGCATTGGTGGGCAGCGCAGGCGCCACAAAGCTCAAGTCGGGTATGAGGGATATGCGTGGTGCCACCTTGGCATTTCCGATCTGGAACTGCTGCCGCTGATGATGCTGCTGATAGGTGGCACCCACTCCGCCTCCCACCGTTGTCGAGGGCGCCGTGGAGAAGTCGTGCATAATGTGTATCTGCTGTGGAGTCGCAGGCACATTGTTGTTGTTGTTGTTGTTGTTATTGTGGTTTGTGTTGGTGTTGCTCTTGCTGCTGGGCACCAAATTGCTGTGTGCATGCGTCTGCTTCTGATGCTGATAGAGACTCAATGGATTGTTGTAGAAGTTGGCGCTCTGCCAGGCGCCGGAGTTGAATTGTGGCGCGGAGGGTCGCGCTGGCAGCGGCGTGCTGCTCACAAAGTCCGACCAGTCATCGTCCTTTGGGGCAGAGCTAGGGCCAGTTGGGGGCTTCTTCAAGCTGTTGACATTGTTATTATTGCTAAAGGTCTGTTGCTGTGGCTGTTGCTGCTGCTGCTGCTGCTGCTGTCCCACTGGCACCGACACAAAGTCCGACCATTCATCATCCTCCTGTTGCTGTTGCTGCTGCTGCTGCTGTTGTGGCGGCTGCTTGGCCACCGTTGCACTTATCGTCGGCGGCTTGGACTGTGCCGAAAACAAATCCTCAATGCGTGCCATTTCCTCGGCATTGATGCTGGACAGCGCATTGTCGCCCCACTCAATGGCCGTCTTGGCCAGCGGTATGGCCTGTGGCAGCAGTATGGCCGGACAGAGTATCATTTGCTCGCCAAATGTGGGCGTGCCGTTCCGTGGCGGCTGCAGCGCCGCCTGCGTTTTCGCTGGCATCGACTGAAAGTCACTGAAATCATCATCCTCCACCACTGTGGGCGTCGTTGTGGGCAGCTCAAAGCTGCTCGTGCCATTGCTGCTGCCCAAGCGGCTGGGCGAGTCCAGGCCAAATGGCGGCGGCTTGTACTCCACATCGCGGTACTCCTTCTTGACCACCGTCTCATCAATGATGATGCCCGTCGCCGCAATCTCATAGTCAAAATCAATGGGCGCCAGCGTTGTGGTCCTCGCCACAGCCGTGTCCGATTTCGAGGGTGTGTAGATGTGTGTCTCCTTCAGTGGCATGGCAAAGCCAGTTGGTGTGCTGGCCGTGGGTCTAAGATCATCTGGTGGTGTTGGAGCTGCCACTGGCGGTGGAGTTGGCGCTCTCAAATCAAACTGTTGCTGGTGCTGCTGCTGATGCAGCTGCTCACTGCCGTTGAGGTTGTGGCCATAGCCGTTTGCTGATAAAGCAGTCGATAGCGTCGCTGTTGCTGCAGCAGCAGCTGCTGCTGATGCCGCTGCTGTGGACTCAAGGCAGTCGCTATTAAGCTCTGCGCAAGGGTTGTGGTTCTGCTTAAAGCTGGAGGAGATTTCGCCGCTGCTGCTGCTGCTGCTGCTGCTGGCAGGGACACAGTTTTCCCCATTAGACGCGCCAGACCGCGCTTCAGTTTGGCTCGTTTGTGGTGCTGCGGCGGCGGTTGCTTCCAGTCCTAGGAGGAAGAAAAAAGTGATTTAGTTTAGGCAAATATTTAGGCGCAAAGAGAGAGAGAGAGAGCGAAAGAGAGTTGCAGTACTGTCAGCAAAGAGAAGGATCAGCCATAATTATGCCATAAAATGCATGGTGAGATTACCAACAAGGTTCCGTTCTTCGCTAACTTATTCACCAAAGTGTGTAAATTCACCATGCTCAAAATCTAGCTTAAAATAAAGTGAGAAAATGTTTTCGAATAACTTGTGCTAATTTCGGGCAGCTAATTTCAAATGTTTTTGCTTTGATTTTTGGGGGTGCCAAAAGGGTAACAAAATGGTGGGAGCAAAGAAACCAAAAAACAACTACAACACACACACAACGCACACGGAACGAACACACGCCCAAAACGAAAAACGAAAACTTACTAAAATCCAGCAAGAAGGCATCGTGATTAGTGTTTATTGTTGCATTATTATTGCATGTGTTTAATGAAGTAGAATGGTGCATTTGATTAGTTGGGTTAACGCGTTCCATCAGCATCGGTTTGAGAGCCATTTGGAGGGGGTTTACAGCAGCAGCAGCAGCAGCAGCAGCATTTTGGGTTTCATTTGTTGCATTGCATTGTTGTTGTTTTTTTATGGGTGTGGAAGTTAGAGGTAACAAGATTTATTTTATCAGCCAGCAGCAACTTTGGTTGTGGGTCAAGTAGTTCTTCCAATTTTAAGGTCTGTACATGTGTCTCTAGGATGCAATTTTTATCATCGAGTCGAAATCATTTTCATCATTTTGAGTTTGAACAGAAATGTCAAGTGTTGAAGAGGGGGGAGGGAGGGTGTGTGTGTGGAGGAACAAAACGAAACCAAAAGTTTAGGCAAGCCAATCCGTAAAAGCGGCAGAAAAACTTAAAGCAAAATTAGCGAGCGATTCGACAGTTGGATCAAAAAACTTGTGTGGCGGTTAATTTGCGTTTTAACTAAGTGGAGTTTTAATCTGTACTTAAAGTAGGTACTATCTTTAGTCACTTACCCACTGAGGACAACTGCTGACTGCTCGCCTCCAGCGGTTTGAGCGGCTTCAGCGGATCAAAACTCAAATTGGCAGCAAAACGCGGCATGGAAGCATTCCACTTGTCGCCAAAGAGCTGCAAGAAAACACACAAAAAACATGAACATTGATTGATTCCACTCCTAACTAAGCTCTGTTCCTACTATATTCCTCGAATCGATGCCCAGCGCACGCACGAGGGAGTGCCGCATCTCCGAGCTGGTCCAGTGATAGTCCAGCGCTTGGGCCTGCTCGATGGCACCAAAGTTAAAGCTTTGACACTGCGCCAGCGGTCGCCGTTTGGCTTCAGTTGCAGCGCTGATCGACAGGTGCAGGGGAAACATAAGCTCCAGCACGGGCTTAATGCGCTCATCGATGCTAAGAGGAGCTGCAGCAGGCTGCGGTGGCGGAGGTACGGCTGCAACTGTGGGCATGGCTGCTGTTAGCGGCTCTGAGAAGTCACCAAAGTCATCATCATCATCGTCAGCATTCTCTGCAGGTGGCGTGGCAAACTCTTGAAAGTCATCAAAGCCATCATCGGCAGCAGGCGCCGGGGAATCCTTAGCCACTGGCATAACCTCCACGGCAGGCGCGGGCACCGCCGAGAAGTCCGCAAAGTCGCCAAAGTCATCAAATTCATCCTCCTCAGTCGCTGCAGGACTCTCCTGGTGCTCCTCCTGCTGCTCCACAGACTGTTCTATCACCTGCTCAAAGCTCGCAGCAAACTGAACTGAATCCGCCTCAACCGCTGGCTTATCCATGGAGAAGGCGGAAGGGAAGGAGAAGGCTGTTTCTGTGGGCGTTGCCAGCACTTCAATGGCAAAGAAATCTTCAGCTCCCTCGCGTATAAATAATTCTTTGGGTTTCTTTGGCGAACACTCATCGTCGCTGTCATCGGACACATCTTCCAGCGTGACTTGATGGCTGAGTACAGGTGGTGCTGCGGCTGCTGCTGGTGCTTTGGTTGGAGCTGGCATCTCCTCCTCGGCAACTGCCACAGGCGACAGCGTGGACGCGGCGGAGACGCTTTCCGTGGAGTACAGACTCAGGCTGTCCAGCTTCAGGGACGGCACATTGTCATTTATATTGGCTATCTCTTCCTCCTCCTCTTCATCCTCGTCCTGCAGCTCCTCCTCTAGCGGTGGCGGCGTCTCCTGATAGTCATCAAGCGACGGCGACTGTTTCACTTGGTAATTGAAAGCCTCCACATTTTGCCTTATTTCCTCTGCATTTGGTTTGCTAGTCAGCTCCAGTTCAGGCGGCCTCTCGCTGTACACAGGTTGGGCTTCTGTATGGGTTTCTGCAGGTGAGGCGGCATACAAATTAAAAACGAAATCACAAGCCCAATTGGCAGCTTCAAAATTACCTTTTGTTAGCGCTGAGCGGTTGCTGGTGACTAAGCCAAAGTCGTCGTCGTCGTCATCCAAATTGATCGTTGACTGCAGGCCCGAGTCGTCGTCGTCCTCGCCAAAATCGATCGGTGGCGGCGTGCTGCACAGCAGTGGCGGCACATTTACCATTTTGCAGCTGTCGTCGTGATGGTGGTGGATCCTCAGAGCGGACTTCCTGCCTTGAAAGTCTGCTAATTTGGCTTAAAGCAGCGAGCGAGCGGGCGGGGGGGAAATATATGACGTTTTCGACTGGGCCCCGTTTATCACAATGTGCGTGTGTGCGCGTGTGTGTGTTGGCCAGTTGTGTATGTGTATGCTACCACTCCAAGGTCTGTGTTGGAATTTTTTTTCTTGTTTGCCTTTTACACGCGTCAATTTCGAGTCGAAACTTAATTTCTATGCACTGCAGCCAGGCTATTAATTACACAATCGTTTACTTTGTGTGCACACCTGCTGTTTTAGCTGCAATATGCCATGTTTTCAATAAAACAACACTTTTTTCCAGGTTTTTGAGTGTTCTGCCTTTTTGACATTCACATTGCGATGCCAAGGTATGTTTCAGTGTTGCAATTATGATAACATATGTAGGCAACGAAAAAGGTGTCAACTTAAGAACAATCAAACAGAAACATTCAATCAAGTCGTACGTGCACTAGATACTCGTAATAATATTAAATAAATCAATTCTGTACTTATTTTTGGCAAAAAGCAAAAATATTGCGGCAACTCTGCACAGCTACCGATAGGACTATCGATAGCGTAGTTGCCAATCTGACAGCTGTTTTAAGGTTATATTTTGCTACTGTGTTGCAATCGCATCGATTTGTGGTAATTGCGCTTATTTAATAGAATATTTGCATAAAAATAACAGCCGCAAGTGAAACGCTGGTTAAAACATCAAGCCAGAGAAACATTTAGAACAGTGTACAAAACTAATGTCTTCCTTTTTCTTGCAGTTTTCGGTCGGACCATTACATAACTACTAGCCATGTCTCAGCCTCCAGTCCGTGTCTCGCCGCTGATCAAGCTCGGCAGATGGTCCCTGCTGCTTGTGGGCATTGCCTACGGTGCCGCCCACCAGAGCCGTCTGTCCAAGAAGGAGGAGAAGGTCCGTGAGATCGAGGCACAGCAGAAGATTGTCCGCGATGCCAAGTTGGCCGAGGAGAAGAATCGCAACGCCCAGGCCGAGATCCGGGCACTGGAGGAGCTCTCCAAGCCCACACCCAAGAAGTAGAGCAACCTATTTAGTATGTTAAGTTCAAAACCCACTCCAACCGCAACAACAACACAAGCAGCAGCAGCCAAACATCTACATTTCATGGCCAGGAGGAGGCGCAACACCAGCAGCAGCAGTGGCTACGATCGTGACACCAACTATCGCCGACAAACTATCGATCGTTCTTGTGTGTTTTTCTCTTCTGATGTTTGTGCAAAAAAATGTACGCAATTAAATGAATGATTGGAAAACAAACAATTATGCAAGTGATTTGTAGTGTTTAGTCAACTCAAGTTTCCATTTGGAACAGCATTAAGCGTTTTGCGGCTTACTTATGCTCTCGTTTTGTGATTGCTGATTGCACGCTGAATGCCGGTTGTCTGCTAGGCCCTTTCTTGCCTTCGTTTAGGTTTTGCTTGATCAATACATTGCTCGCTGCCTTGGGGATAATTCCTAAAGGTGTTGAAACGCGACACCTGCCGTGTCGGGCTGCACGCAAAGCAGCTCCAGGCATGCCAACACACTCGATCCGGCCGCCGCAGCGATGACAAACTTTTTGGAACAATTACCTAAGCGCATTAGAGACATTGCCGAGAGCCGTAAGAATGGGGCACAACTTTCTTTGAAGTGTCTTCTAAAGCGCTTTTAATGCAATTCCCACTGTTAGTCAATGTGCTCACACCAGAGGAAGTGCTAACGACGCCCAGGGTCAAGTTTCTGGACACTCGCGTCACATCGGTGTACACGCTGGTGCGTAAGTGCACGCCGGACGATGTGCGTGTGCTGAAGGATGCGGCAGCCAAGTGGCTGGCAGAGACACCGCTGACAGGCAGGCCTCTCCATACTCAAGATTGCGCCTCAAATTTAACTTATTTCTTCTCCTGCCACAGCGGATTCCCTGTTCAAGCCGCTGGCCAATGTCAGATGGTCACGCGTGTCCTTTGGCTGCCCCGCCCTGGATCGCTGCACGGGCGGTGGTGTGGTCACGCGGGGCATAACCGAAATCTGTGGCGCTGCCGGCGTGGGCAAGACACAACTGCTGCTGCAGCTGGCGCTCTGTGTGCAGCTGCCGCTGCAGCTGGGCGGCCTGGGCAAGGGCGTGGCTTACATATGCACAGAGGATGTCTTTCCGGCGCGACGTCTGCGTGAGATGAGCAACGCCATGGAGGCGCGCTACCCCCAGGAGTCACTCAATCTAATGGGCAACGTTTTCGTGGAGCATCAGCGCGAGATTGTGAGTGGGAAAAGGCAGTCCAAGATCTTTATTTATTCCATTTCAATCCCCTTTTAGGATACGCTTATTAATTGTGTTGTCAATCATCTGCCGCGGCTGCTGCGGCAGCACAGCATTGGCCTGATCGTCATCGATTCGGTGGGTGCCATCTTTCGGCTCTTCACGGACTACCTGGAGCGCGCCAGGCTAATGCGTCGTCTGGCCAATGCTTTGATTAGCTACGCGGACAAGTACAACTGCGCCGTGGTGTGCGTCAATCAGGTGTCCAGCAAGTGCAATGGCAGCTCGGATGATGCGCCCTGCCTGGGCCTGCAATGGTCGCATCTGGGACGCACTCGCATGTGCATTACGCGCGTGCCCAAGCAGCACATGGTCCAGGATCAGCTGCTGACAGTGCGCAAGCTGGAGATTTTGTACTCCCCAGAGACGCCCAATGATTTTGCCGAGTTTCTGATCACCGCCCAGGGTGTGGTGGAGCTGCCCGCCAAAGTGCGACGCTTGTGAATTTTCATAGAATTTTTATTTTTTATATTTTCTTTTGTTTTGAATTTGTTGAATTTAAAATGTGTAACGGCGGCGCCCGTAACTCTCTTTTTGCCTTATTTAGCTTTTTGCTTTGTTTTGTTTTTGTTTTTTTGTACAAACACTCAATAAATATGTTCAATTTACAGGGTAGCATAGCTTAGATCTACATTTATATAGTTTATAGTTCATAGTTCAAGTAGTAAAATCAATTTTTTGCAATTTGTAATTGGGTTTTGCCGCCGGGCATTAACTCTCCTCCGCTTTATCTTTATCCTTTTTCCTTTATCCTTCGTATACATTATCACATGAAATTTTCGAAAGTTTCAAATTACATTTACGTAGTGGCTCCCATTAAACATTTACATAAATGCATTTCTAATGGCAACATTTACATTTGAAATCGCTTAAGCATAAAAAATAAATTACAAATTAAATACACACGCCTAGGGGGTGACAAACAGCGTTACAATTGCGTTACGTGTTAGGTAAATTATATTTATAGTTTACAATTACAATTACAATTACAATTAGTTATATGTAGTAAATGTGTGTGTGTGGGGTGTGGGGTGTGGGGTGTGTGTGAGCAATATTCGACTTTTTGGCACAGATTAAAATTTGACTGTTTCCGTAGCTTAGTTCTCGCGCATCGACACGTCCTGATCTTGTGAGTCGTGCGCCTCTGTGGAGTCACCATGCTCGGTGGACGTCTCCTCATCCTCCTCAGACTCGCTATCCTGCTTCAACAGCTTATCCTTGGCCGCAGCCTCCGCCACCGCCCGGACCTCTGCCTGCTTCAACTGCTTGCTGGCCTCGGCCTCGAACTGCTTCAACTGCTTGCTGGCTTCAACCGCCTCCGCCTGCTTCAACTGCTTGCTGGCCATGCTGGCCAAAGCTATTGAAATCTTGGAAGCTGCCAACTTGCTCTCGAAATCCATTTCGTTGAGCAGCGCCGCCGCCGTCGCCGCATTCGCCGGCGTCGGACTGCAGCCATTCTGCTGTGCAGCCTTGGCCGCCGCGGCAGCACGCTGCAAACTCAACTGCAGCTCGCGATGCTGCGGCGACTCTTCCAGCTTAATGTCCAGCTTCTCCGTCTGCTCCAAGGGTGCGGCCGGCTCCACGGTCAGCGGTATGGCATGCTGATGCATTCGCTGATGCATCGACTTTGACTCTCCCACATTGTTGTTGGATGTATGATGACGCTTCTCCCCCCCAGCTTTGTGCATTTCCACCTTCTCGTTCTCGCTGCGATTTGGCGCACAATTTGTTGTTTTTGCTGCCTTCTCCAGCAATGCATTCAATTGTTTCTTCACTTTGGCGCTCGTCTGTTTGTTGGCCAATTTGCTCTCATTGTTAACACTATTGTTGTTGGCCAAAGATACCGAATTGTTGTTGTTGTTGTTGTTGTTGTTGCCGCGAGTTTTCTCTCCTTGGGCACTTGTAGACTTTTTGGTTGCTGCTGCTGCACTCTCGACGGTGGAGCTGCCATTGCCACTGCCTGCAGTCGTTGCTGGTGCTGTGGGCGACTGCTCTGCTCCGCCGCTCGATTTATTTGCATTGGTGGATTTGTGTTCTGCGGCCTCATTGTTGGTGACATTATCCTGCTTTTTCCACTTTGTGCGACGATTCTGGAACCAGATTTTAACCTGAAAAGAGCGCAAAGTGGGCAGAGGTTTGATTAGAAATTTGTGTTACCAAACGGAAAGATATTCTGAATGCATTTTAGTTATGTAATTGGTGCTAGTTGCAGACCTTGATGAGTAAATAACTCTCTTATACTTCGAATTTGCCACAACCCAGATTGCAATTAACCCAGATTTATATTATACCATGAAATGCTTTTAAATATTTAAATATATTTGGGGAATATAATGGCAAAATTTCAAGTATGAGAATGTGATCCGCACACCCAGGAATGTAACCTAATTTTTGGTATCAAAAGCTTTTAATGAAATTCTCATAATTAAAATAATATTCAATAGTTTTGCAAATATTTAAACCCTTTCACTGGCTAATTGGCTGAAAGCAGAGTGAGAGAATCCAATGCCAGCCCGGCACCATCACGGCCAAAACGGTTTTGGGCCGCCATAATTATGCATGTTTATGCCCCATTTGGCCTTATTAGTGGGGCGGTACAACAAATAATTAGAAAATTAGAGAATTGTGTATCCTGCTCGCACAACACTTCCGCCCCCCCGTCACTCAGTCACTCAAAACAAGCAGAAATGATGAAATGATGGGCGCCTGTCAAAAGCCACCAGCCACCAGCCAGCAGCGGCCCATGCCGTGTGCACTGCTCTACCGACACCCTAACCAACAGCTCCCGGCAGCTTCAGTGGCGCAACATAAAACATTTGCCTATCATTCACGCATTTCATTTCTATTTCATCCAAAAACATACGAGAAATATTTGATATTTGAGGGAGTCGAACTTTGGGATACTCTGAGATTTGTGTACGTAGAAGATCTATGGAACACATGGAGTACAAAATATTTATAATTGCCAATTGGGATAATAAGAAATTCATCAAATATTAATTGAGTTTACATATTTTAAGTGTGATTGGAATAAATTTGGTATGAAAAATGTGTTTGATTTTTGTTAAGAATAAAAGAAAAGAATAAATATTTTTGAGCTATTCAGTTATAGCTATGGCTTTAAATTAAATATAATATTTTTGTTTAATTTCTAAACATTCTTTCAATTATTTGCAGAATAATTTTAATATATTTACAGACTGCTCTCACGATGCATTGCCTTAAGGCAGACACATTCTTAAGTGCTACGTTATTGTCTATACTCTCTTCATAGTAGTCTCACGCCCAGCAAAAGATGAACAAAAATATTTGTACATATTCCAGTACTTATGGAGGGACAAGCTCACATTTATCTGCTCAAAATGCAACGACCCTCTGCCAGTGTATAATGATGGCCTAGCTAAATAAATGAAAAATCTATTTAAATCGCGCACATAATTAGTATTTCAGCAGCATGTCCGCACACACACACACACACACTACACACACACACACACTACAGACTGCTATATGACATGCTTGCTCATTTTGGCCGGAATAGCGTAAAAATTATGAAATTAACATGAAAACGGCACTCAATAACCCCGCAATTCCCACCCAATAAGCAATCAATTTTCAAAAGGAAATGCTCAAGTACACACACACACACACACACACACACACACACACGCACACACATGTACAATCGTAAATTTTCACTTGGAAAATCAATTAATTGATTGCCAAATATTTTCGAATTTATCCACACGCACACACAGGCACACAGACACAACGTTATGTACTCGACGAGGGATTGATGCATGCACGAAAAATGTTTATTTTATGGATGAAGATGGATTATGAGTGTACTCTGCCGTGCCCCTTCCCTATACCTGAAAAGAGCCCCGACTGACTGGCTGGCTGGCTGGCTGGCTGGCTAATTTCCTCATAATTATTTTTGGCCTGGCAATTACTCATCCTGCGCCCGGTCCCATACCCATTCCAATTCCCAGTCCAGTGCCAATTAAGTACGTTCATGAACAATAAAGCATTTCCTATGTTTACCTTATGAACACTCTTAATGGCCCATCGGAAAGTGTAGATGCTGGCTTCCCTTTTATTTCGTTTCAATATTTCCCTCTTCCCTGCACTCGAATGGGTTTCTGTTTTTATGGCACTTCCATTCCGAGGCACTTTTCGTGTGGCCCGCGGTGAGCAAATCACCCCTAGATCATCAGCCACATGACTACCGCTTTATGCAGCCAAAACACATTTAATTTTTGATACTTGAAGCTTAAGTGCTGAGGAGGTTAGGGAGTTCTTGTGTGGAGGATACCTTTTTGAGAGCTTAAACTCTGCTCAGAACTGAGAGGAATAAATGAACCAAAATTCTCTGCCGGCTGATTTAATTGATTCATAGACTTTCCTCAACCAATCTCGCTCGTTTTGGTAAATATTTCATAAATTCTCGCAGTTTCTGGAATTCCTCTCAACTTGTTCCGCTTCTGTATGGATATCCCGCTACATAAATAAACTTCATTGTTTGTGCTGTTTTGATCCCAAACACTAAACCTCATTAAGCTGAAAAATGTGAGGAACCAAAAAATGTCTAAAAATAAAGGGCAAACGTGTCGTGTTGCTCGGCTCTACCCCAGGCTCGCTTATGATTTATTGACATTTAAATGGGGGAGAGAGAGAGAGAGAGCGAGTGCAGAGTGAGAGATAGTGTCGCTGTGTGCGCATAGAAGATGACAGAAACAGAGCGCATAAATAGCCTGAAAGGCAAACAAAAGCCCATGCACAACCAAAATTAAATAGGTTTATGACAGAAGAGAAGCGCTTTTCTAGCTACTTAGTTTCGCCGCCGTACACGCATTTCAATCAACGCCAAGCAGATCAGAGAGTGAGACAGAGAGCAACGGCTAGAGGGATCCTCAAATAGTCGCTTGTCTAGTCTGCAATTTTCATTAGCACATAAACCGTGCTGGCCTCCCTTCGACCCCCTTCGCGTGTCTCCACAAAGTATATTGCGTGTGCGCTTTGTATAATTAATTTTCACATTTGCCGCGCACTTTTTTTTTCTAAAATAAAACGCAGGCCAAGAAACGAAATGAAATGAAATGTTGATGATGCTCTAGCCTGGGGCCTCCCAACAATGAGCAGCCACATTACATCCACATCCAGTGGAGGACTTCTGCAGCGGGGAGTGGCCCTTCCCTAATTTGTAATGGCTGAAGCGGCTGCTGTACATAATTCTCCTGGGGTGCCAAGAAAAAAATTCAACACTCACTTCTTTCCTTTTCTGCTCTTCACAAATAATGTTTTTAATGTGTAATTTAGCATATTTTTGTTTGTTTGTTTGTTTTTGGGTGTTGAGAAAATTATGATAATTGCTTTACGGACTGCGGGTCTATCGTTCATGTGGAAATTAGCAGGCAGGCAGGCGGCAGCACACACACACACCCATTAGACATAATTATAACTCAGTTGAACTGGATATTAAAGAGAGGTAATCATTACCGCTCGCTCTTTATTAGCTTATCATTGTGCAGCAAGCCTTCGGCAAATACACGTTTTAATATGCAATTCTGGCAATTCGGAATATGTTTGACAGGCCCCTTCCAACTCTCAACTCTCTGCCTGATTCCTGATGTGTAATGAGACACTTTGCTCACTGCAAATATTCGCAATGGCAATGGCATTCGTAATTAATAACATAATCACTGCATTGCTCCTGTCATTGTGGAATATGTTCGCCAACGTATACATACATATATACATATGTACACACATACATACTGAACGTACGGCAAACATAACCTGAAAGCTTCAGCTCAATGCGGTGTGAAATGCACAGTTAGATTATTTGATTGCCAGCGTTGAGAGAATGCCATTAAGAGAAAGGCGAAGAGAACGGCAAGAAGAGAGTGACAAGAAGAGAGAGACTAATGTAGAAATGCAGAGGTTGTCAATTGGAATATTAAAGGAAGTATTTGAAGCGCTATATCTCTGTTGGTTTATCTAAGTATATAAACAATATCTTTTATCTGGCAATCTAGAACCCAAGCAGCACCCAATTTATACATCTTTTATCTACCTGTATTTCTGGTTCCTAATTAAATAACGTTTCCACAATGAAGCATTTGATATGGGGATTTGGGCATACGCTTGGCTTCAATTTGTTGTGTTATTAATTAAATAGACATTGCCTGTAAATGCAAACTGCTGTTGCTGTTGCCGTTGCTGCTGCTGCTGCTGCTGCAGCTTTGTGGTGGCACCCACTCCGCCGCCACAGCTAAACAATGCCAAACATCTACGGACATCCAATGAGATTGCAGCAGATTGGCTGGCTGTTCTATGGTTTCCCCAAAGAGGGCGGAAGAAGGGACTGGGTAGCAACTGCATTTAATGGACCGACATGGGGAGACGAGCCTCAACAGAGAGTCAGACAGAGAGGGAGAGAGACAGAGTGTATTTATGCAACATCATTTACGTGGTTATAATTGCACATTGTTAATGCCAGTGGAGATGTTGTTGCTATGCCTGGAATGCCATAAATTCATCTGCATTGCATCCACAGGATAATGCGAGTAGAACGCCTGGCCACCATTTGCAAATAGAGGGAATTGCATTTACATAGGGTTTACTGACCCGAAGGCGGCACACGGTACGGCCAGAAGACTCATTTCAGGCCATGTGTGAAATTAAACAAAATTCTGTAATTAGATTGGCATCGTAGAAATTGTCTAGCAATCACATCTAAGTATGCTTTCATGAGCATTTTTGTTGCCATTTTGCTTAGAAGTGCACAAAAGTAAAATTAAAGTCGGATTGTACAAATTAAAAGCCAAACGAAAAAGCCAGTAGCAACAGCAGCAGCGACAGCGGGAAAATCGTTCGAATGCAAAAATGCAAAAATAAATCAACAGAATGCAAATGCAAAGTTTAACATAAACTGGTGGATATTTGTAACATATGTAAGTATGTATGCTTGTAAATATTTATGCATACAAATTTTGGTAGCCGCTCGATATTTTATTTCTCTTCGTCTTTCCCTAACTCGCCCTCAAACTGACAATAAGAGCACACACACATCTCAAAGCCAAAGACGCTCTTAGATCCGCCGCGA